TGAAATATATAAAAATAAATAAAATCCTATATAATAAAAGCCTAATATGTAAATCGACCAAATAGCAGAAAGACTGGTCGCTATGATACCCACTGACCACCAGGGGGCAGACGCTCAATGCAGGAGCTGCCTGCAGGCTCTAGGCCAGCCAAGGCAGGTGCCAGTGAGGGCAACCCTATTGCCCTGCTGGTTGCCCCACAGATTGGCCCTGATGGCTGGCCAGGCCTAGGGACTCTACCCGTGCACGAATTTCGTGCACAAGGCTTCTAGTCTCATTTATATTTGTTTCCTCCCTAATGATGTGTCCCCTCCCTCCTCATACCCAGTCCATGAGGGCAGGGACTCTGATTTATTCCTGGTGGTTTTTCTAAGCACCTGGTACAGTGCCTGGCACCCAGAAGCCACTCAGTACACGGTTGCATTAAAAAAAAATAACACCAATCGATCAATGCTGTAACAGGAAGAGGGCCAGTGTGCCCCGAGGAGGGGCCCAGGTCTCCTCTTGAAGGAGTCAGGGAAGTCTTCTCAGATGAGGAGGCATCGCACGGGGTTTTTACGGATGCGTAGGAGCTCACCTGTGACAGGGGACATGCATTTCTATCACTTACTATGTTGAGCAGGTCACTTAAACTCTCTACCTCAGTTTCCACCTGCTTCCTGTGAAACTGAGATGCCATGCTTACCTAACGGCCAGGTACAGAGTACACAGCCCATAAAGGCAGCTGTCAAGATGCTCTTAAAGCAGTTAGTATGACTCTTAGCACGTAGTGGGTACTCAGTCCTTGGTCTCCAGGCGTGCTCATCTGGAGAGGGAGTTAAGACAACTGCAGTCCTGGGAGCAGTGCAGGGCTCTGTAGGTGACGGACAGACACAGGTGTGTAATACAATGTGCCAGACACCATCCTCACAAGTGTGAATCAACCCCCCTACGACCTCGGCGAAGAGAGGGCCAGGGACCTGCTCAAGTTCACACACCCAGTGATTGCCAGCATTGAGGTTCGGATCCAGGTTGTCCAGGTCCAGAATTCATGCTCCAGACTGCTACGTCCTTGTGAGGACATGCAAAGGGAGCCCAGACCCCGCTTGTCAATCAGGCTCGTGGCAGGTGGAAGAGGTGGTGAGTGCTCAGGAGAGGAAAAGAGGGACTCCGCCAGGAGAAATCACAGAAGACTCCCTGTAGGAGGTGGTATTTAGGTTGGTTCTTGAAGGATGAGTTCAAGTTCCCCCAGGAAAAGAAGGATCTTAAGAATCGCTGCTGTGAAAAAGAAGGAATTCTTACCATTTGCAACAGCACGGATGGAACTGGAGAGCATTATGCTAACTGAAATAAGCCAGTCCAGGAAAGATAAATACCTCACTCATTTGTGGAATATAAAGAACATTATAAACTATTGAGCAAAAGTAGATAGAGGCAAAGAAGCATCGAACAGACTGTGAAACTACAGCAGGAAGGCAGGGGAGGGGTGGGGGTAAGAGATCATCTGAAGGACTTGTATGTATGCATATGAGCACAACCAATAGACAAAGACACTGTGTGTGTGTGTTGGGCGGGGGTGGAGGGGAGCGGTGAGGGCTAGTGCTTGGGGATAGG